TAGGTTATATATATATATATATATATATATATATATATATTGACACGCTGTAAAACTGAGGAGGCCAACTCAGTTTTGCCCAACCACTTTTTTCTGGTTTCTCCACGATTCCTCCACCAGTAAAATCAGTGGACTATATTCTATAATTTTGGTGCGATTACTTATCGAAGGATTGAAAGCCCTGAATTCGAACTTACCAGACCTAAAAATACCTAATAATAAATATCAGACTCGAGTATTGGTTTCATCGACGAGCCGGTGCCGAGCAAGTGACCTTGAGAGGGACGAAACCACAAGTTGAACCATAATTTTTAATCATATTTACGGAGAAACAAATCATCATCAGTGGCCTCTGCAGCTTTCGCTGAATCTTTTGTGGCTCATCCTCGTCCTTAAAAATATAATATTGCGAGGGAAACGGAGGACAAAGATCAAGATTCCCTCGTTCCGCCTGTGTAAAACAGTATTTCTTTTTTAATCAACACAAATCTGGCCACTTGCTAATCCAGTAGTTGTCTTGATGCAAAGACTCTTCCCGAAAGAAAAAAAAACAAAAAACAAAAGCGGGATTTCTGTTCATGGCTGGAAGACAAATCCGAACTCATATCCCTCGCGTAAAAGACAACGTCTTGCCCTTAAGATAAGATTATCTTTCTTGTCCTTTACTGGTCAATAAGTTAGTCAGCAATTCCCTTACCATAGACATTTTTTTTTATAGTTTCACAGGTGACAGGATTTGACCCTTTCCAACCCTAATGTTCCCGTGTCCATGTTAATTACCACTTCAGAAAAGCATGATCTTATGCAAAAACATAATTATTAACAAGCGACGAACAATCAGTCATCCAACAAAGACTATTGGCTTTGCGTGGAGGTTCACTGCAAAATGGAAAACGTAATCATATCTAATTTACTTTTGATAGAGCATGCCCTAAGAAAGTTGGATTTTTATTTTATTTTCGAGAAAAAAGCTACAACGTTCCCAAAAAAGGATCACGAGTTTGGGAGACCCAATCGTAGAAAAAATATAATTAAGAACCTCGAGGTTTTTTTATA